GAAGTCTAAGTACTTAGAATGTGTACTAGTTGGTATCGTCATGATCAGCCAAGATAACCTACGCAATGCATTTTTTTCAAAGTCTCAAAGTTCAAAGTTTCAAAGTCTGAAATGCATTGCGTCCACTTTTTTGTGCCGCGCCTAGGATATGTAATCTTGAGCTTAGGTTTTGTAGATTTATTTAACATACAGTCTAACTATTAGGTGCCACAAAAAAATTGCGCAGGCTAAGAATGATTGATAGGTTGACCCAAAGTTTAGGAGCGTTTATCAGCATTAAGTCATCAAAGTATAGCTGAAAAAGCCAATTATTACCGCGAAAATGTAAGGTATTAGGTACGTATCCGTGATGGATACATGGTTGTTGAAAGCTTGATTTTAGGATTTGCAACTTTTTGATTGCATGAAATCAAAAAATCATCTGAAATGTTTATCTTTGGTGTCCTTATTTTAATATACAAGTTTGATTTCTTAATAAACATTTGCATTTGTGGTTTTTGGGCTGGTTGCCACGATAAACCTATGGGACCTTTCTATGATTTTTGGGTTCCTAATTTGGCTGATCTGTAACAGATTTAGGTGAAGGAACCGTTATGAAAACTACTGTGATCAACACTTCGAAAGAAATGACTGCATACAGGCAAGTATGAATCATTAATTGCTTGATTTAAATCATTAAATACGAATCTTTAGTGATTTTCCACCACCCAAAGAGGCAGCAAACTTCATGCACAACACAGAGTTGTTGGAATACTTCAGATCATATGCTAAACAGTAAGTGATCTTATGTCGATCTCAGCTGAAAATTCTAACCATTTTATCTTTTATTTCAGCTTCGATTTGGAAAAGTATATTCGTTTCTCACATAAAGTAAAGTCTATCAAAAGAAATGCAAACTTCGCTGAAACAGGACAGTGGGATGTGGAGTGGCTTGATCTTAAGTGGGTTTTCTAACACTCAACATCATGATTTAGTAAAAACGACAGCATGTACTCATAGAGTCGGATGAGTGTCGCTATTTCAGAACGAACAATAGTGCTGTGGAAACATTTGATGGAGTAATGGTATGCACTGGTCATCACACCGATCCTTATTGGCCTAAACCATTCCCAGGACAAGACAAATATACTGGAAAATTAGTGCACAGCCACGATTACAAGGACCACAGAGTTTGTAAATTTGAACGTCTGCTACAAGTAATTTATCTTGAATAACCTTTAAGGGTTATGAGGATCAAACTGTTGTTGTCATTGGAATTGGCAACAGTGGTGCAGACATTGCCGTTGAGCTGAGCAAAATATGCAAGAAGGTAAATGTTCCTCCAACGTAATTGTTTAAAAAGAACTTGGAAGCATTTAAGGCGTAAAAGAGTTGTTTGCTAGATCATCGCAATTTAGTTGCTGTTTTAGGTATATTTGGCCACTCGATCTGGATCTTGGGTAATGAATCGAGTCTGGGACGGCGGAGAACCAGCAGATTTGGCCTATTTAAGCAGGTTCGTGACCATGTCCATAAAATTTGGGTATTCTATAAATGGCTTACACTGTGGAAGAACACACTTCATTAGTACTCACATGCAAGTGACTGAAAGAATGTTGCGTGGATGCCTTTGTTGATGAACGAAGG